AATGTTTTCATTTTATTTTTTTTTTTTGAGAAAGAGACAGAGCATGAGTGGGGGAAGGGCAGAGAGAGAGGGACACACAGAATCTGAAGCACAGATTGTCAGTCTGTGCTGTCAGTCAGCACAGAGCCCTACGCGGGGCTCGAGCTCACAGACCATGAGATCATGACCTGAGCCGAAGTTGGACGCTTAACTGACTGAGCCACCCAAGCGCCCCATTTGGCTTACTATTTCATCATTTAAGCAATTCACTGTAATTTAAACTGTTGAGTTTTTTAGTGACATAGATCTCTTCTTGAGATATTTGGTAAAATTAAAAAATTTCCATACGAAAGGGAGAACAAATAGTTTATATTTTAAATTCTATTTGTTTATTTAGGAGAACAAATATTTTTTAAAAAGTTTTGGAGTTTGTTCTCTCAATGATTATGCCAATAAAGTGTTGATCATTAGTGTTAATTTGTAAAATTTTTTTGTAGCCCTTACGAGCAAAGTATGGAATTAGAGATGACATGGTCTTGCCATTTGAGCCGGTGAGTACACTGAGGACTCAGAATATTCATACCCATCTCTTTGTCATTGAAAAAAAGAGCTAGCATTTTCCTTGTAACAAAATTAAATAATTAGTGGATATAAAAGTAAGAGGGAGTTTGCTTAGAGTTTATTTACTTTAATTTGCTATCTGTTGTGGCACTTAAGAGTGAGAGAAAGACCAAGAGTAAGTATTTTCTTAGCACCTGGCACCTGCAGTTCTGAAACAAACAATGTTTTTAGCATCACCAGTTTTATAGTAGCTTATTTTGCTAGTAGGGCCAATTTCCAAGCTTCTAAAGACAAAATTTTGCCATGTTAGCCATGAATGTTTATGTTCTCATATTAGTGCCTGGTGAAGAAAAAAAAAAATTAGTTACTAGCAAGTAACTTTCATGAAGAATCTAGAAGACTTTTTATAAACCAGAAGTAAGACCATCCTTAGATTTAGTTTTTTATATCATTTTGCTAGTTTTAGAATTATATGCCATTACAGGGTTGTGAGCTGGAGAAGGTGTGTTATATAGTGAGGGAGGGACAATTTAGGGGTTGGTGCAGAGAATTTGGGTAGTTCCTGTGGAGGAGAGTAAGAAGACAAATTCACAGCTGGATGTTAGTCACAGTGATTACCTAATGTGTGGTGCTCTTGTAATGGTGTATAAAATCTGAAATGACTTCATTGGACAGTAAAGGCAAATGAATTATGCACCATAGGGCCGTTTTTATGATCATTCAGTGTGAATAAGGTCCTGAAATTGCTGTTCTTTACAGGTGCCAATCATTGAAATCCCAGGTTTTGGAAATCTTTCCGCTGTAACCATTTGTGATGAGTTGAAAGTTCAAAGCCAGAATGACCGAGAAAAACTTGCGGAAGCTAAGGAGAAGTTATATCTAAAAGGGTTTTATGATGGTGTAAGTTATAATTTTTTAGTTTTGCTCTGTATATTTTTCAATGATTTAGAAGAAAATAGAAAGATTCAATATAGTTTCACCTACATACTGATTTGAGAGATGATATGAGATTGTGTTCTTCTGTTTCCAAATTTATTTATTTTTTGTTCAGTGGCCCTTATAGAAATTATATATTTGTGTCTTTTAGGAATGTCTAAGAAATGAGTTTCTTGAGAAGATTATTTAAAGTTAGTTCATGTTATTATGGAGTCAATTTCATAGGTTTATTGCATGGACAATACCTGGTCCCTTTTGCTCTTTTAATTGAGGAGTTCATATTTTAAATAAGCAGTTTTTCTCATTTAGTTGTTAATGTCCACTAAATGCCAAGGGAGTGCAACAGACATGTTTGGAACCTCTCTTTTCTCCTTAATTGTGCATGTGTTAATGTGGCTTACACATTTCCATGGAAAGAGGACTAGGCTAGAGAAAGTAAAAATCAAGCCAAGTTGCTAGTGACTTGAGGTTAAAGTGAAGATTTTTAAGGCTATAAATGGGAATTCTTTATTTTTACCTTCACTTTCATTGTTCTGGATAACCAACAATTGGTTATGTGTCTTTTTTTTAAGTGACTTACACATTTTGGGTGGTAACAAAAGCTACCGCTTATATAGATAGCACTTAAATGTTAACTTATTTAAATCTCAAAATAACCTCGTGAAGTAGGCACTATCATTCCTGTTTACAGATGAGGAAATTGACGCACTAAGACATTAAGTAATTTACCCAAGATCAGCAGATAGGTAGCCAGTGGCAGAACTGGTCTACCTGGGGAGCTTGGCTCCAGGGTTTGTGCTCTTAACCACTTTACTAACGTGATCTATAAGTATAATTTTATAGTGGTCAATTAAATTGATATAAAGCACTTCAGCATGTTAGAGGATTGGAAGGTCAGAAAACATCTTTCTTTTCCATTTAAGATAGAAACTGTTTCAGAGAGAAACAGGAGTCACATAGCTGGAGGTCAAAATATGAGCTGGAAGGGGACTGTGTGGATCTGGGACAACAATGGGCAAGCTAATACCTAGCCCCAGGATTAAATTTCCTCACTTCATTAAAGGCAGAGTTGAAAAACCAGCCTTCCTATAAGGGCCAGGTTTATCACATGGCCAAGCTAAGGAAAATGCTTGTTGGCAACAGGCAGAATTGGAAACAGAAGTCTAACTGGGGCTGAGCTGTGTGAGCTCCGTTCATTTTCCCAAAGCCTTCAGGAATGAACTGAGTGAGCCTATTGAAATTCTCTCCCCATGGAAATCTGAGAAGTGGGAAGGTAATGAGGGATCCTTCCTCATCTTGTTCGTGATAGCTATTCTAGTCATGGCAAAAGAAAAACCAAGTGTGTTGTATATATTAATCACCCAAGCTCTGGCAAAATAAAAACTTAAGATTACAAATGTGATAGATTTCACACTAAAAATATCTTAGTTGTGGATGGAAGTAAATTTAGGGAAAAATTTGGAGGGAACGCAAGGCAAATTTTAATTGTTTTGTCTGTGTTTTGTCCCCCCACTTCTCATCCTTTTAGGTAATGTTGGTGGATGGATTTAAAGGACAGAAGGTCCAAGATGTAAAGAAGACTATTCAGAAAAAGATGATTGACACTGTATGTGATAGGCCATCCTCTGAAGGCTGTTTTAGGAGAAAACCCTTTTTTTAAATTTATTTATTTATTTCTTTTTTTACATTTATTTATTTTTGAGAGACAGAGTGAGAACGTGAGCTGAGGAGGGGCAGAGAGAGAAGGAGACACAGAGTCTGAAGCAGGTTCCAGGCTCTGAGCAAGCGTTCAACACAGAGCGCGATGCGGGACTCAGACCCACAAACCGGGAGATCATGACATGAGCCGAAGTCGGACACCTAATGGAATGAGCTACCCAGGCATCCCTTTTTTTTTTTTTT